AAAGATTAAGTTCGTGTGTCTGAATAACTGGAAATATAATTAATTCTGAAACTCGCTGGCAATGCTTTTGTTTTTCTAATTTTTAACATTCATGACTTTGTATAATTCTTACTCAGGAAATATTTATTTTTTCAGCGCACCCACATCGAGGTTTCAAGTGGCTTTAGCGGCAATACCGTTGAAAAATTACCCAAGCTCCCCTCGGCACTTCCCCTTTTGGTGATGCCTCAGGGTCCAGGCAAAAAAAAAAAAAACAAAAACAAAAACAGACCACTCCCGAAAGAAAGGTACTGCCCGAGGGGGAAGTCGCTTGATAAGAATTAAAAGAAATAAAACCATAGTAACTGTATGTCTCATAATCTGCATTGGAGAATAAAAATCACGTCAACAGATGTGACCAAGAAGAAAGATAGGAAATTGATTTCATTGATTGCTTCGATGCTTTTTTTTATCTATTCAGCCCAAGTAAGGCAATAATGCCACTAATACGCAAGGGGCTACTGGGAGTGAAAGAGAATGAGAAAAAATTAGAAGGAACCAGAAACACAATCCTAAACAGGAAACAAGGAATAAGCCTGTACTCCTGTCCAAAAGACTGCTTATAAATTATTCTTATAAAATTGCTTCTTGCATCTGTTGTTTGACACAAGGTAAGGAGAACACATATACCGCAATGATGTATATTCTGTAGACACAGCTATTTAGTAAAGAACCAAAGCATCACTACACTCAGCGCTGCTACTTTGTTTTTTTTTTTACGGAATGAAGTTATTAGCTCCACGTCCAACCGGCTTTGAATTCAAACTTGTTTTTCTATACTGATTACCAACTGAGGCTGGAGAGTCCAGGCTGCTTTGTTATTACCCCAGAGATGGTGAGAGAAGAATTGCATTTAAACACAACGGGCTTGGCTGGAATTTGAACTCGGCAAGCCAGCCCACATTCTGCAACGACAAATGCTACACAACACACACACGCCAAACGCATATTTTGGGTATGTACAAAAGTTCCCAGCGTTTTCTTTTTTGAAAATTAGAAACTGAATTCACAGTAGAAAACATTCTTTTCAATTTAAAAAAAAAACTTCTTTTTATTACACACACCCATGCGTTGATTGTTCTATGAATGTTATGATATTCGTAAGTGGTGCAATTATGTTTTTTTTTTTTAATTGTTTATGTTTATTTGGGATGTATATAAATCGACATTCCTCTCGGCTCTATCTCGGATATCTTGAGAAAACATCTTTTCTCTGAAATGCCACAATAATTAATGATAAGTTTAGTGGAGGATTGACCTATTGGGCAAATCACTCTACTGTAGAGTCTACAGTAACTACACACAGGCAATAAAAACTGTAAGACGCAGTCTTCAACCTTGATATCCACATATAAAACGTAATGTATAGTATACTTATATATAAGTTATCTGGTGTGTCACTTAGCTGATTGATGTTATCTTCAGTATCCTGACTTCAGAGTTTCGTAGACGGACTCTCCGGAGAATTACATAGTCCATTCCTCAGAGAATGTCAGCAATATATATATATATATATATATATATATATATATATGCGCTCTCTGATATTGAGCACTCATCCCCTGTAAATACAGCAATTTTTAATCTATCTTCCTCTCTCTCTCTATATATATATATATTGTCTATTATGCAGTGTTACATTAGAACATGCACATACCCACTACAAAACTGTACATCTTGTTTCAACGTTAAAAAATCTTTTTTTTTAACGTTTAATCAGGTGGGCTATCAAGAGTCATATCGTGATTCCCCACCTGATGAAACGTTAAAAAACATTTTTTAACGTTGAAACATGATGTACAGTATGGTAGTGGGTATGTACATGTTCTGATGTAACACTGCATAATAAATAAAAAATATATACAGCTCTACTTTTATATTGAACTCTGTTTCAAATTAATGTTTTGAACGCTGAAATCTTACTCTTCGTTCTTTTACATTTGGATATATAAGTAAATATATATATATATATATATATATATATATATATATATATATATATATATATATATAAATAGATAGAAAAATCTTCAGTGACTATCTCTCTAGATATATGTGTGTGTGTGTGTGTGATGTAATGGGAAAAGAACAGTTAGATTGATGATCCAAAGTTCTTTAATATTTTTGTTTTTATTTTTTAAAAATCAGTGCTCGTTACAAAAGTAGAGCTTAAAATTATAATTATTTTTTTAAGAAATATGATTCCATTGCGACACAGAAATTACTGTTGCGAAACTGAAACTAAAGTGCCAAACTTTGACACTTGAGTTTCAATTTCGAAACATAGTAATTACTGTGTCGCGATGGAATCATATTTAAAAAAAATAATTATAAATATATATTATATATATTTTATCTTATATGCGAAGTACTTAGTGGAAATCGCTCAATATTAGTGAGAGAGCTAACATATTCAGTTGTATGGATATGAGCTTGTGATCCTGCAAATCAGTGTGTCTTCAAGTCAGCGCTAATGATGGTGATGATGACAACAACGACTATGCTAGTAATGTAATAAATGAAATGAAATAAAAATGATAAAGAATAAGAAAAATAATACCAAAGACAAATCATTAAATATATAAAATATTTGAATATCTACGCTATATAAAATGTTTGAATATCTATGCTGCATAAATTTTTAAACCCAATTCTGAAAATGAAGAGGATAAACATTGAAGATGATGGAATAGACCTTCATCTCTTTCATTTAGCTTTTATATTCAGTGTTTTGCAAACTACTGTAATAAATGCGGACCAGACAATAACGGAAAAACAGCCATAAAGGCTAATATTGATTACAGGGAATATTTTTCATTCGTGTAGCGTTTGGGTTATTTCACTAAAGAGAAAACACAATGACGTTGGATTTTTAATTGTTCTCGTTTTTATCGCACTAGCAGGCATGAAAGTATGTAAGAAAAGTTAAAAACGATAATTTTATCAGATCATAGAAGTTGAGATTGCACCTCAGTATATTTGAAACTAGGACAGAAATTTTATTTTTTTTATTTTATTCTAAGTAACGAATTTTGGTCTTGTAAAATATGTAAGAACGAAATGATATAAAAAGTCAATCATACGGTGTGCATAAGTAGGTATACAGCAATGAAAAACAAAACGTATACACAAAATGTATTGTATTGATTGGGGCCACTTCGACGTGGTGTAATGGTTAGCAATCTTATCTCGCTAGATCAATTACGACAATAGTGAGTTCGATCCTCACTAGGTGCCTCATACTTTCGGCCTTGTACCACATCTAAGCTACGCTTAGAAAATCACCATATCAAGTTGCTGCATACCTACATTTGCAACCCCTTATATATCCTTTGTTTTCCAGTTGCATATATTGTACTCTTAGGTGCTTAATAAACGGGGCAGGTGGACGTTAAATTTTCTGACCACCCCGTTTATTAGTTTCATACTTTTCGATACTTTGATTGTTGTTTTTTGTTGTTTTTTTTACCGCTTATCAACTTTTTTTATATATATATATATAAAGTTAGATATATATTCAGATTGTAAGAATTTGTTAGAAATGATAATGATTTATTGATAAAAGTCCTACTAATTAACCCATAGCTGGGGGAGAAGATGAGGATTCATACTTTTCCCAAGGCTTCGATCATTTGAATACTCCCTGTTTATTGTATATTGAGAAAAATTCTCACCCTCCCAGTTATTAAAACCCCTTCTATTAGGCACACACAATATATATATATATATATATATATATATATATATATATGAGATAAAGGAAAGCCTAAAAGAATTAACTGGCTTTGTAATGTCATTAAAAACGAAAGAATTTGCTAATGAGTTTGATAAAGCAGACATATTATTTTAAAATAAAAAATACGGAAATCATTTAGTAAATAATATTTTCGGTATTAGTTTTTTACGTAGAGACAGTGGCGTTTTGTGCAAACTGAATGTAGGAATTGGGCAACTGGAGGCAAGACTCAAAGCGAATGTCAGTTGCTTTTTTTTTGTTGGTATATAAAAGTTTTATAATAAAACCAACAAAAATAATCTTCACCTTGCCAATTTATACAATCTTCAGAAATTATTTAAAAATTATTGTGATAATGCTTTATTAAATAAAATAAAATTCTACTAATCAAAATTTTTTTACGGTAACTGATACTTGAATTTTTTTTAACCCTAAATAACATTATTAAAAATTAAAAAATACATCAACCTCACTTCTACTTTATAGGGCGTCATATTTTGGCAAGACGACTTACATGCCAGGCACAATCTGGGTGGGGCATAGCTCTCTCTCTCTCTCTTGTCCCCCTCTCCTTACTAGAATCGCAAATGATCCAAGGAAAATGAAATGGTCTTGTGATCAATCCCAAGAAGTGACAAAAATCCATGTTGTTGGTCTCCGTTCTCCTCAGAAGAGAACACGTTCATTAACAAGTTCTCTTTTAAACACTTGAGAAGGAAACATAAAACCACAAATCGTTTGTATATTTTTTTCAAGTCTGTGATATTATTTTACGTTTTTACAGAATTAATTTAAAATTTAAACTAAACATCGTTTTCGAACTGGCTTTCATAAAATAATTTTGGAGTTAATGCTAGCTAAGACAAACGAAGCCTCAGGGGGTATTTAGCATTTCAAAAAGAAAATATTCACGGATTAAAAAAAAGAAAAAAGAAAGAAAAAAATCTCTACAATGTTTCGTATAAGAGACTGGGCAACTTTTTTTTTTTTTTTAAACCTTTCCGTTTTGTTGTGGATAATAATACATGTTGTGTCTAAACGCGGTTTGTGGAAGTAAAATGTTAGTTGAATAACTTGCGCGTATAATGAAATCATGTCAAAAGCTCTGTTAAGCTGTGCTAAACCTGTATAGATCTTAGATGGGTGACCACTTTGAAACATCGGGTAATGAAATCAACTTGCATCGAACGAAGTTGAACTTCGTGGAATTGAATAACATTCTTACCTGACATGGTGATGAGATTGTAGTTTTAGGTAGTGGTCCTGGGCTAAAAGAGATTTTGTGTCGCAAACGGAGAAGTGTTTTTAAAACACTAGTTTACAAAAAAAATAATATTGCAATGTAGTGAAGACGAATAGTTGAGTTGTGTACCCGCTGTACGAACGCTACAATACTTACTGACTGTGACAACTTACAATAGACGGGGGAGTGAACTCACTCACTCTTTTGTCAATATGTAGATCTTTTCTTTTTCCTTTTTTTTTTTTTAACAGCTCCTCTCGTTCATATTTTATTCTCTCTACCTCCATTCCTTCACAGCTTTCGTTTCTCCCAACCACCGTCGCCATGGATTTTCATCCCACACCTTCTATGGTTTATTTTTTGCCCTCCTTTTCTCTTTCTCATTTACTCTCTCACTCTTTCTTTTACTCTCTTTCCTTTCTCTCTGACGATTTATACTTCTTTAATAACCACTCCTTAACTCTCTCTATCTTTCTCTACTCCTACTTTAACCTGAATATTAAGAAAACCCCCTGTCATTGATTCTCTATCTTATTTTCTTCTTTGTTCTAAACCTCTCTTTCTTTTCCGCCCTCATTTCATTACATTCCAGACCTTTTCTTCACTCCTCTCATTGATTTGTTTAAATTTTCTCTTACTCCTCTTACTTACAACAGCTTTATTCTCCCTCATGTCTTCTCTCTCTGTCTTTTCTTCTTCCCTTTTTCTATTTTAATTCTTATGGCCATCTAATTTTATCGCGCTGGGTCTCTCTCGTTCTCACTCTTTCTTTCTTTCTTTTTCTTTTCTTTTCTTTTCTTTCTCTTAATAAGAGTTAGCCAACAGGTTTGCCGAGTTGAAAACGGAAGGTCTATGTCTGACTGACCGAGATCATGTTGTAACGATTGAAATCTCGCGGCCCACGTCATCCCCTCCCGCTCCCGATTTTCAGCCTCCCACTCCGGGTGACAACGCCCCAAGACGATCCACAGCGTTTACAATTTCTAGTGTAAATGCAATTAAATAAAATTGCTTTGGCCAGGACGATCTGTCATTTAATTCTGTTGCAATTAGATTACAAAAGTGACACAGGTAACTAATTCAATAATATGCCGAGGGAAATAAAAGCTTATATAGATTGAAATAGGCAGAGATACTTATGAGGGACGCTCCAAAAGTAATGCTTTCTAATTTATTATATCACTGCACGGCATCAAAGGCGAATATTGGTTTGCGTGACAGTAGAAATTGAACCTTCCACCCCATTTTTACACTACTGTTCACTCAATAGATGGTACAAGAGCCACTCAAGGTAGAGCGTTACTGAATGTGGGTAATATGTGTAACTCGCCACGTTCCATACAGCACTGGACAACTGTCAACCCACAAGACAAAGTACGTCTCGAAAATATATTGCCAATGATGTTGGCTATGCGGAAAATAATGTTTTGTAGCTGAAAACTTGCTCTACCCAACGATGTTGTTGTGCTCTCTGTGTCAGTTGTAGTTTCCGTGGAAATAAATAGGTTGCATTTGTGTCAGAGCGTCACTTAGAGATAGACAGACAAACAAATATGAAAAGATTAAAATTGTTATATATAAATTAATTAAAATGAATCTGAACAGTCTAAGATAGATAGATAGATAGATAGATAGATAAAACATCTGAACAGACCGAGATAGATAGATAGATAGATAGATACATACATACATACATACGAACAGACTGGGATAGATAGATAGATAGATAGATAGATAGATAGATAGATAGATAGATAGATAGATAAACAAAAATGGTCCTGAAGAGACCAACATAGATAGAAAGATAGGTATGAAGCTACTCAGATATCGTGAAAGAGAGAGAGAGAGAGAGAGGGAGATGGAGGGAGAGTATGTCTTTGTATTGTATATATCTTTAAGTACACGAATGTACTTATGAAATTTTTTGTTCGTATCGCCAATCTTCTGATATTTAAGTTATATCTCTAAAGCTGTTCTTCGTAGAGACGTGAATGCTGACAACAACCGCGTCGGTCTCATCCGTTATATAAAAATCGAAAAATCAGGGAAGACACAAGGAAAATAAGTAAATAAGTAAATAAAAGTCGGCTAGTAGATATATAGGGAGAAAGATAACAAACAACATATATTGCCGAGAATCACAGTGAGATGGCAATAAATGTGGACATCAGTAATATCATCCTCATAGCTAAATAATTATTTATTAAGCGCGGTTTCTTTCTGATACAAGATTGCAAGTACTGGGCGGTCACTGAAGATCGAAGCTAGTAATAATGATACTAAAGAACTAATATGTTCATCATTACACACTGTTGTGTATTCAACAGATAGATAAATAGAAACAGTAGGTGTAAGAAAAATTTTTAATTTTGACTAATTCCAGAGAATAAATATGTTTTCACAACAAAGATTAATTACACTTAAAGTTTACAGAGGGATAGCTGGAAGGACTTAATATAAATGAACTTTAAGACCTCACGGTGAAAATCATTTATTATTGTATAATAAAACATACCCCACCTCAGTACTAATTAATATTTTCTATTTTACAAATTATTGTTTTTAAGAAAAGAGTTCTTTAAAAATCTTATTTGAAACTTTTCGTTTTCTCTCTGAATGAGAACTCAAAGTCTTCAGTTCTTTGTTGATATTAGCTAATGAGAGAAAAGAACGGTAAGTAATGTGTGAAAGCTCGTTAAACAAGCCTTTAAATATTTGGACATTAAAATAGAAGCGTTGTGTAGAAAGAACGAGAAAACAGAGTAAAAGAAGAATGAAAATGAAAGAAGGAGAAACGAGGAAACGAAAGAGGAAATATGGCAATTTGAATCATTGGAGAAGAAATAAACCTGAGTGACGAAACTCTTCCCAAATTCAAATTCATAATATAAAAAAAAGGAGACAAATAAATTGATATGTTAATTTAGGACGTGGGCAAGCGGGAACATTGGTATTTATAGCACCTCCACATCACTGATTTTACAAGTATGCAACTGAACTCTGTGTACCAAGAATTTGTGTAACTATGGAAAACTATGGATCTGATGACTTTGCAATTAAAATGCAGTTCGTATTAGAACACTGACAATTTTCTCTGGAAGCAGATTTGTTTTTATTTTAACTATCGAGCCATATATACTGAAGATTTTACAAGCACACTAAAAATTAATTACTATAGGAACAAGAAGATTATGTTGCGCCAATCTGCACAGAAATAGCCTACCCTGTAATCGAAATCCTGACTTTTATCCGAGTTGTAGAAGAATACTCAACTACGTCAGCATTTAATGTTGCTATATAATATACCTCGTATATTTGTATATTTGATATCTGTAATGTCTGTACAGTTCGTTTTACAAAAGTTATCTCCCTTGTTTTGGCGACATCAGGTGGCGTTGGCTTTGTTATGGCAAACTGTTACGGCCATATCACGTTGGAACTCCGGTTCCTGTACGATCACAGAAGTTAACCAACGTCGAACCTGGTCAATACCTAGATGGGTGACCGTTTGGGAATACCATGTGCAGTAAGCTTGGATGTGCGGGTGGTGTAATAATTGCATGGAATTGTCAATCAGAGAGCCGAGTTCCATTTCCCGTTCACTTCGTTATATTTACTTACGGGCAAATACACTTAGGAAAGGTATGAATTCACTTATTCACCATCCAATATTAGTATGACTTATTTCACTAAACCATTATTATCTAAAAAAAAAAAAAAAAAGAAAAAATGATTCGTACAATCTAAAAATATTTTCTGGCTTTAAATAACCTGCAAAGGTTTGATAAACCGTAGAGAACGAATCAATCAATCATAATATTTGAAGACTTTTCATAATAATAATAATAATCGTAATAATAGTACCCACTGAATATAAAACTCGACATGACAGGGTGGGCCAATGTCTGCACTGAAAAATATGCAACTTTCACGGGAAGGAAACTGCAAGAAACTGGTATGAACATTATCTAGACATGGTTACAGAAATAGGACCTCTTTTTAGAACAATCAAAGCTAATCGCCCAAAGACATTTGGATCAAAGATCACAAGAACAGAATGTGCTTTCTTATCGACCTGGCAGTCCTTACAGATTGTAATGTATCTTTGAAGATCTTCAAAAAAAAACTATCAAAATACATGGATCTTGAAATGAAAATCTCAAAAATGTGGCACATGAAGACATCGATAATTCCAGATGTAATTGGAACCCTTGGATTGATTGGAAATGATTTTGATAGACTCATCGAAGGGATTCCCGGTAGCCCATGCCTTAAAGAAATACAAGTTATACTCAAAAGTACAAAGAGCTTTATCTATGTAAAATATGTGTTATTTTTTTTTTTTTTTTTTTTTTACAAAAATGTTCAGTGGAAAATGTCATGAAGTCATTTCTGACCCTTGGTCTCTGGTTGGGAACCGGAAGGAAATGTGTATACAACAGAAATCAAAGGAAATAATAATAATAATAATAATAATAATAATAATATGGCATATGGGAATATCAACATGGCATATGGGAACATCAACAATCCCTGTTGTAGTTGGAGCCTTAGGACTGGTTGGAAAAGATTGCAGTAGACTAATTGAAGGGATTCCTGGAAGTCCATGCCTCAAGGAGATACAAAAAAATGTTCTGACAAGTACAGCCCACACTTTACGAAGGGCTTTATCGATGTAATTTTTTTTTTTTTTTTTGTCATTGGAAAGTGTCATGATGCCATTTCTAACCTTAGGTCCCTGGGCGGGACCCGGAAAGAAATGTGTAAACGCCAGAAATCAAAGAAAATAATTATTAATAATAATAATAATATTAATAATAAAATATGTATGTGCCCAGATCTGAAGGGGGCAGAAGATTAGTTCAACTAGAACTGTCTTACGAAACTACAACAATTATCCTTCAAAGATACGTAGAAACTACAGACGAGTGGATGATGATCTGTGTCAAAGAAGATGGAAGTAGTAAGCGATTTTATTCAATAATGAAGGAAGCCAACAAGTTCAAAATGGAGTTTCATGTGGGTGAAGAAATACAAGTAAAGCACAATACGCCGACTGAAGCTGAAAAATACTTAAAAAAAAAGCAAAGGCAAATGCAACCGGCCAGATACAGAAATGATAGCAAAATAAACCACTTTACGGTCAATACTCTACCCGTATCAAACAAGCTGATGTAGACAAACCCCGTACCCATCAGTGGCTACGTAGAGCAGGGTTAAAAGCTGAAAGCTAATGTTTTATTTTTGCTGCACAAGAACAATGCTTGCTAAGGAGCAACTACAGAGCACGCATACTGAAAAATTGTGTTAGTCCAATTTTGTGATAAATATCCAGAAACAATTGACCATCTTGTATCAGGTTGCGGAATGTTGGCATCCATTGAATATAAAACACGGCATGACAGATTGGGGTACTGTCTGCACTGAAAAATCTGCAGCATTTATGAAAAGAAAACTGCAAGAAATTGTTATGAACACCATCCAGACTCGGTTACGGAGATAGGAACTATAACAATTTTATGGGACTTTATAATCCACACAGACAGAAAAATCAAAGGTAATAGCCCTGACATCAGGATTAGAGACCGCAACGACAAAATGTCTTATTGATATGACAGTCCCTGCAAACTGCAATGTATCTTTGAAGATCTTCAAAAACTATCAAAATACAAATACCTTGAAATCGAAATATCAAAAATGTGGCGCATGAGGGCGTTTACAATTCCAGTTGTAGTTGGAGCCCTCCGATTGATTGGAAAAGATTTCAATAGACTCATTGAAGGAATCCCTGGTAGACCACGCCTTAAAGAAATACAAAAAGTTGTACTCACAAGGGCCTTATCATTGTAAAATATGTCATTTTTTTTCAAAACTGCTCAATGAAAAATGTCATGATGCCATTTCTGACACTACATCTCTGTTCGGGACCCAGAAAGAAATGAGTAGACACCAGAAACTAAAGGAATTAATAATAATAATAATAATAATAATAATAATAATAATAATAATAATAATGTGGGTTTATGGCATGAGTAACTGATAGATTTACTGGACTAAAGCAGAAGTCATAATGAATTTGGTTAATTTTTTTATGGCCTACATCTCAGAATAAATTAAGAAAAGACTCAATAAAGAAAGACGGGTCGGTTTTAGTAGGTATTCTCAATGGTTGTTTTTTATGTTCTTTATTCAATACTAGCAGTAGAGCCCGGCGTTGCCCGGGGATGTAAAAGTAAGAGATAGATCAAGTATCGACCATCATAAAGACTGAAAAATAAAATTGACAAAGATTATTGTTTAAGGTTGACGGACACGAATGTCTTAATTAGTTTTATTTTATTTTATTTTATTTTTTTTACGAATTGGTCAAACCCAAAAAACATTGTTTTTAATCGTTATGAGTCTCTACCGATTGAATAGAATTTTATTATAAACAATTGTCTTGTAAATGGAATTTTTAAAGCATTCTGAATGTAAAAATAAAGAAAAAAGGTGCAAGACAATAAGAAACACTACCTGCCAAAAAAAATTGAAGTTTTGTTGAAATCGGTTGAAAAATGTAGGAAATCCGATCCCATATATAAACGAACGAACACACACACACACACACACACACACACACACACACACACACACACACACACACACACACACACACACACACACACACACACACAACCTGGGTTTCATAATAAGTATAACTCGATATTAATAAGCATAACTCGATATGAGTTGTCCCCCTTTCATCAATGCTTCTTAATCGTGTTTTCAAATTGATTTCGTGCAAAAACAATTGTGTTTTTCCAATTTTTGGCGCTGTCAGAACCACCGCAGGGTAATTTTACGTAGTTCTGTGAAGTTTTGTTGAAATCGGTTAAAAAATGTAGGAAATCCGATCCAATATATAAACGTACACACACACACACACACACACACACACACACACACACACACACACACACACACACACACACACAATCTGCGTTTTATAAGTAAGATAACGGTTTCTGGTTCCGTCTAAAGTCGACTTCACTTCTCTACTTCTAATATCTCCGCCTAAAACTCTGAACCTTTATTTAGGATTTTTTCCCCTAATAGGAGTAAATAGGTTCGCCTATAATCCGGTTCACACTCTTCCCCGGTCATTTGAATCAGAGTAGATGTTTATCCCTTGTTTCCTGTTTAACAGTTTCTTCTAAAGGCTTTTCCTTCTCTTTCACTATTGGTGGCTGTTTGCGTCTTAGTGTCATTATTACTTGGAGTGTGGTGTCTCTTCCTCTGTAACCCTCTATCTCAAGTGGCTCTTGGGCCTTGTACAGCGGAACATCATCGTTTAAAAAATAACAATTTTAAGCAGATTAAATTATTCGAATAAAATGAATTATGAACTAATAAAATCCTTAAGAAATCTTATTTCTGAATATTCTGACATTGTTTCATGTACGCCTTGAATATGTTTTTTTACGTAAGATTAAACGTCCATGTAATATAACTGAATTACTGTAAATCCTCACATATACTAATCAAAAATTAAAGAATAAGGATAGTATTAACATCATTTAGACCCTATATTAGTATACTGTAATCTTCCTTGGGGAATAACACAGACCTATACTCTTGTATACATTTGATCGAACAGATTATAAATACCATCCTGTGATACATTATGACACATGTATTGTATTTGTTGCCGCAATACAACAAGAATAACAGTGTTAAGCTTCGTCCTATCATGTCTCAATGGAAGACAAGTCTGGTGGTTATGCTAGCAAGAAAAAAATGTCGAACATCTTGCAAAGCACGTTGAGCAGTACGGGCATCAGGTGTGCAGGCATTACTCTGCTGGAACAGCACATCATTTTACTGTTATAGGAATGGCATCTGAACGAATTGCACAATGTTCTGGACATACATAGCGCTGTTCAACGTTCCCTCAACAAACACCAAAGACTAGCGAAAGTTGTTACTTATGTTACGCCGGACCAAGATAACGGGGGTTGAGCGTATATTTTGTGGGGAAATCTCTTTCTGTGTTCCATGTCCCTTCAGGATGTGAGCTATCATGGCTCTCCACAATTTCCTATCCCTTGTGACTCTTAGCAGCGCTTTTCTCTTTGCCATGCTTCCCGCTCTCCGTTTTACCATCTTTTCACACAAGCTCGTCAGGTGGTGGCATTCTGCTTTCTCTCATCTCTCTTGTTCTTGATATGCTTCGTGAGTGTTAAGTTTTCTAAGCCCTTCTTCCTCATTATGCATCCAAGAAATATTAACTGTCTCTTTCTGATTCTTTTTGCTCCTATTTTTCTCATTGGCTTACTCACCACGCCCTTTACTAGCCATTATTTGTTTGAAAATAGAACCCGCACTCGCCACTAAATACAACAGAGTTCCATTGAATCCACCAGGCAACCTTTTCACATCATCACTAAAGATGTGCAAAGCGTTGTTGCAACAAATGTTGAAGGCTTCATAGAGGCAACTGTAACCATAATCCTGCTGAAAAGAAAAGGATGCCCTATGGTCCATGTTTT